ATTTGGGGAGGGATGTGTTCTTTGTCTTTTTTTCATTTTTGAAACGGTGCAAAGTAAGCATAATGTCACTATGTGATAATTATATTGTTTTGATGACTTCAGCATGCCAAGAAAAAAGGTAAAGTAAATGACATAGCGATGCTGTATTTGGCAGAAACAGTTACACGAAACGGTAAAACAAAGAAGATCAAAGGGCGGTTCTCAACTAGATTGTTTGATTTGAAGGTACAACAGGACATATATCCAGATTGTGTGATAATAGATCCTATCAAATTAAAAGGTAAGAACAAATGATATTGTGTGCATAGTAACGAACAAATATACTTTGGTATAATCTTCTAAAGACCACAAAACATGAACGTACCGTATGTAACGAGACAAAAAAAGTTTTACTTTATACCCTTTTTGTCACGTGTGTGTTTAATTTTGTGTCGATAAAACGAATTCATATTTCGTTTAAACGAAAATAAATAATATTTCGTTCAAACGAAATAACCGTTCGTTTAAACGAAATGAAATTCACTTGACAACAAAGGATTAACGGATTTTACATCTGTTTTACCACAATGTTTGGTCATGTCTCGGCGCTTGATCCACGTAACAAGCTTTCCCGGATAACTAACCAGTAATTATTTATATCACCACGAGTGCAACTGACCGACTTCTAATCCAACATTGTTCCTAAATCAAAAGATCATAATACTTAATGTCCGAGATCAAATGTCATGGAGAAATTACCCCTCGCCCAAACAAGCGACCCATGCCTCTTACAAAATATACAGAAAAATACTATATACTATTATATAAAATTGTATGTAAGTAACATACTTATATGCCTTAGAATAATATATATATATATATATATATATATATATATATAATATATATATATATATATATATATATATATATATATATATATATATATTTGCAGATACTGCTATTCGTCTTTCTGCCTAACTCTGATTGCTCTCGATACAATTCTGGAAGACGAGAAAGGAACAAAATATGCTTCGTAAGAAAGGCGGGAAATAAAAAAACAAGTGCCCCGGTAATTATGTTTTTCTCTATTTTTCTACGTCCGTCCAATGCGTAGTGCATGTAGCATTGAAGTGTTTCCTTTATCAAAGCAAAAGGTGGTGGTAGTTTTCACTCCGGATCACGGCAGTTAGCCACATTGAATTTACCAGAGCACAGTTCAGCCACCGCATCGTTCCTGTGCAGGCTGTTAAGCAGTTTACCATCACTTTCGCAAGGCACTGATAGCGACAGGCGAATGACCGTAAAATATAATCAACACAATTAACAGGAAAAATGAAAACAAAGATTAACTAGGCTATGCGACGTTCACAGAACACAGCCGCGTCACAACTGAACCACAATGGCAGGGCACACATAAGGCACCGAAACAAAGAAAATGGTGATGTCATAAAGGCGGAAAAAGGAGGACAAGAACATGAGAGATTTTTTTCCTTTTCCGTTATGAACAGACTAAATAAAACCGCGACTAAAATTTTCAAAAATTTGTTGTTGTTGTTCTTTAATTGCGCCACAGGGATATCACTTTTCCAGAATTTTTAACAAAGTAGGTATCGCTCAAATATTTATTTTCACAAACAACACAATATTATTTACAGACAGGACAGGGTAATCCTATCGTCTGCACTTTAAATGGCGGGGCGAGCGTTCAGATCGGTATACACATAGATAACAGCGGCTGTTCCAATAATGTGATGGTGGCGACACGATTGTCAAGATTTCGGTCCTGGCTGCGTAAACCATCAAAAGAGAACGCCATTATCAGGAAACTTAAGACCGGTGAAAATGGTGGAACAGGTAATATATCTATGGCATAGTATTGGCAATGACGAAAAATGAAAAACTGCTAGTGTAAAACTACATCTGTTTACAAATTTTTTATTGCAAAGGATAATCATAAAAAATATGAAAGAACGAACAATTTTAAAACAATGTTATAAACAAAACACTTGCGTTAGAGATTTTAAGTATTTCCTCCATGGAAGTGGTTGGTTTGAACGTTATTTTATTTATCTTATTTATATAACCTTATATTGGTTTCGTATCTTCTTAACTTGATCTACACGTACATGTATATACAAATTTTTATTAAAATATTCATTTGTCGCAATATTATATTGCATTAATTTTCTAAATAGTCAAAATCTAAAATTGCTGAAGAGTCGAAATAATCACATGTAAATAAATAAATAAATAAAATTGCCGAAGAGTCGAAATAATCACATGTAAATAAATAAATAAATAAATAAATAAATAAACAAATAAATAAATAAATAAATAAATAAATAAATAAATAAATAAATAAATAAATAAATAAATAAATAAATGAATGAATGAATGAATGAATGAATGAATAAATGAATAAATGAATAAATAAATATAAATGGCTGTTCAGTTTATCAAAGCTATACTATGTGATAAGTCTCCTTTGATCCTCATTCGATCTTTTTTAACCTCACCTTTCGTTTTCGTCCATCAAATAAAACGAAATAAAACAATGGCAAGTTTGTAAGAAAATCGCTTCATAAATTCACATTGCACACAAGTTCTAAAAAACTTCTGGTAGAGACTGACGGATGGACATGTCAACATTTGTTGTCTATGTTTTGTATCTTTATATGTGGAATTTTCCCACATATAAACAAGTTAAATAACAACATAAACGGGTCAATTTTTGTGTGGTTCTTTTCTTTTTTTAACCATTAGACGTTGTTCCGGACGGACTAACAAATGAACGAGTGAATAGGTTTCTTGATATATAAACCAGAAAAAGCTGCGATGGGCCATAAATCTTTTAATAAAAGTACATGTATAATGTTTTGCAAAAGTTTAAATGTTTAAATATTTTGTATAATTTCATTTGAAGGGATATATTTAATTGTATATTTAATTTCGTTTACTTCTAAATGTATTTGGACAGATGGGAATAAAACAACTAACGGAACAACCATTGAAAGTGGTAATCTAACAAAGAACGGAAGTGGTAATGGAACAACCGAGGGTGGTAATGGAACAACCGAGGGTGGTAATGGAACAATCCATGGTGGTAATGGAACGACCGATGGCGGCAATGGAACAATCAATGGTGGTAATGGAACGACCGATGGTGGTAATAATGGAACTACAACGGGTAACTATATAATTATATGAATGACATTTGTTCTTCTAAACGATTTCGGTTATAAACGTTTAGTAATCATTTTTATGACAACGAATGGGAGTTTTTCTCTAATCATAAGACTAAACGCTTTAAAGTTAATGAACTATTTGTTTGCGTTTAATGCACGCTTGTGTACAACGTCGTTCTAATAAAAAGTACAGACAAAAATGATGTCACAAAGTTGTTTTCTTGCACAGCAGACTGGCGTTTCCGTGAGTTTTACCCATAAACATATATCATATTGAGGTTAACCATTTTAAATATGAAATAATATGGCAGAATATGCAAGAAAAAATATCTGAAATATGTTTGCAGTTCGGACCGGAATATCCGTCCCTCGGGAACACGCCCATGGGCGGTAACTCGGCAAGCCTCGTTACCAATAATGGGCGGGGTCCCCTCGGACGGATATTCCGGTCCGAACCGCAACATATGACAGATATTATTAATAATACACTTGTGTAAATATTTAAAGGATATTTTATAAGTGTTAGATCAATACTGAATTTATTGAACGATTTGAATATTACATGTATTTTATTAAAAAACATTGGAGTTCAATAACTTCAGTGATGAAGCTACACGGATATACATGTATTATTATCACATACACACAATCTAAGAGCTGCTTACAGAAGAATCACATTGACGCGCTTCTAAAGAAACGCAAACATTAAGGCTATGTTTGTATTACGCAAATAACGACACGCCAAAATATATGCACGGCCGTTCAATTACGTTTTTACAGAGTTGCATTAGCGTTAAAAGACTTACTTTGTTGTTATATTACTACAAACCAAGTAACGTCATGTGTGAAGAACGGATACAGGAACAACCAGACTTTACGAAACGTTTACAATTTTAGGTCCTGGACCGATGATTAGAATTTGCACAGAGTCTGAGTTTAGATGCCCGGATGGAACCTGTATTCCAGGAAGTGCAGTCTGTGATGGAAAAAATGACTGTCCGTGCGGATTAGCAGATGAAAGTTCTTGTGGTAAAGTTATATGTTTTTATACATGTATAAGTGTTTTCAGCATTCGCATTAGTTGATGGTAAACACAAAAACTATATCCTGTTTAACTGAAAAAATTTCGTAAGGTGTTCTCTTATTTGAAATGTTTTACTTTGCTAGTGAAGCCTTATTCAATCGATAATTACATACACGTCTTTCTGAATTTTCTTATAATACATGTATTTCTTTCTTATGCTCAATTGTGCACCTTCTTTTTACATTTTTGCATAGGTAAAATAATCAAGCTATTGCAGTATGTAGTATTGATATTTAGATGTATAACCGCACTTTTGTACTTTTGAAGGTTGTGACCTGGCTGGTACAGAATTTATCACAGGCTTTCTACACAATGTGGGACCGGAAGTATCTATTTTGTACATAATGGCACCGGAAGTTGCTAATGTCACGGTGACCATACCATTTTTGTCCTACAACGAGTCATTGGTAATACAGGGTGCATATAAATGGAAGTTTGAAGATACGACCTTGGTTATGGCTGAAGAACACTCGAGAAAAGGCGTGCACATAACTTCAGACACACCCATCACGGTAATTGCCGTAAATAGCCGAGAATTGTCATATACAACCGTCGACGGTACTATAGTTTATCCGGTAACTTGTTTATCTTCTGAATACCTAGTTGAGGTACAGAGCCATCGAACTTACAAGACCAGTCAGTATGCCATTATTGGCACACAAAACACAACTACCAACGTCACTATCACCAACAAAAGAGGGAGGGTATTTTACAAGCAGTTGGGCTTTTTAGAGTCCTACTTTTTACAGGAAAAGGATCTTAGAGGAACATCTATATCAGCTACAGACAATGTTGTCGTGATTTCTGGCTCAGAATGCGGTTATGTTCCATCCGGAATGACAGCCTCTTGTGATCATCTTGTTAATCAAGTCCCGCCCAGACCAATGTTTGGCCACGCCTACATTGTTGCCCAACAGAATCCAAGGAAAGGGTTCTCATACCGAATTAAAGCCGCGGAAGACAGTACTGTGGTAACTGTTCGAAATGCAAATGGTGAACTGGTAGCAAATGAAACACTTGATGTTTTAACTGAATTTTTCAAAATGGAACTAGATTCACAACCACTTTCTATCACAGCAAATAAAGGCGTCATGGTCACACAATACGCTCTTGACGCTGTAATCGATGATCTTGGGCTAGGTGATCCATCAATGGTAACACTTCCTGCGCTGAATTCATTCGCCTCTAGCTACAGCTTTGTTATTCCGGACTACTTTTTAAGAGTTGGTGTCACAATTTACATCAGTGCATGTCATGACCCATATGGACTACTTTTGGATGGGAAAAAAATTTCTAATACTATTGTGACACTGGTTACAATTCCGAATTACGGAGATTATAACGTCATCAATATTGACTTACAATCTAAATGGACGACATATAGCTCAGCGTCATTAAGTCATTCTGAACGAGATGTCACTTTTGGCGCGATAATGTACGGTATTCGAATAGAAGGCGCTTTTGCATGGCGATTAGGCGGGAAACTGTAGATAATTTTGATCATCTAACGGAATGTTATAATTTTGATATTAAAGGCCATTTCTAAACAGTATCTTGCGCCCAAAAATAATGAAAAGTTATCTGGTTCTTTTTTTGAAATATCGTGCTAAATTTCATGACAAAATATACATATAATTATGTAATAAACATCTTTTAATAAAATCGTAACGTGTTATAACGGTAAAACATCGAATAAAATGTGGCAATACCACATGACTTATTAATTGTCGTCTGCAAAAATACAAGATGCACAATCTGACTTAAATCAGTTCCGACGTACCAATTCATTCATAAAGTTTGATGTAATCAAAGCGTAAAGGGGTTTATTAAAGGCACATTTTGCCTCAGAAATGAATATTTTTCTATTCTGTAGAAAGGCTGAACACGAGTTTTATAACGTATATGTAACACGTTTAGAGCAATGTAGATGTTTATCACCCAAAGAAAGAAATAATGTGTCATAAAGTAGCAAAATGTAAACAGAGTAGTATTTTGACAAAACACATAGTGATGCTATTTTTACTTATTGTCAAAAAACAACAAGCAAATGAATGATGGTTGAGGTAATTGGTCAATGAGTAACTTTTGGAAACTATAACATGGCAATTAGAATATAAAGCTTTTGAAATAAATAAAAACAATGCATTTCTTGGGCATAATTGGCATTTAATTTTTTGATATACTAGTAGTGTCACATACTATTACCTTGCATTGATTTATTCTACAGTTATTCTCGTCTTAAGTCACGTGGTATGGCCATATGTTTAAGATTCAAAGCACAATTAGTTACTTAAAATATAATTATAGGCCAGCAAAGGTTAACATATTCTTTTATGTTTAGTTTTTTTATTTTCAATGTTAACTTAAGTTTGTTGATTATTATTTTATTAAAACAACAACTTTTATCATATCTTGAAAAAGGAGAATAAAGTTTCAAACATATTCAATTATTGAATGTCTTCTCTTTATTTTTAAAGGGAGTTTGCTGATATACAAACAAACACGTGTACTACAATTGTATTAAAATCAATGTGGAAACTTGAACACCGGGCTATTGGGAAATTGAAATGGAAATTGGAATCTGATGATATAATTGGTTGAGTCGTGGTGACGTTTATGGTTATTTTTAACGGAGTGATTTCATTGGTCGGCACCTTTTAATTATTTTCAGAGATAGACTTTCACATTGTTTAATATCTAACGTGTCGCCTGTGATTCAAAAATGTTTAGCACTTCAAATTCAGACACAAATTAATCATCTTTTTTATCAAATTTTAGAGTGTCGTTAAAGATAAAAATAAGAAAATAAAAATGTATACGTAACACCATATCATAAGCAAACAAGAAAGATTCCTTCTAAAATTCTTTTCACACGGATGTAAGATTAATCATATAAACCGAAACTTTAACATATGGAAACAAGAAGTATATTTGAAATAGATTCATAGCCGAGGAAAACCTGGTTGACTTGCATCTATATAGACCTTTTTGAATTATTTAAAAAAAAAACAAAAAAAAAAAAAACTCTGCAATCTGAATTATACTACGCTACGCATTAGCTCCATTGTTCAGGAAGGAGTTTATTCACGAAAAGAATCGAATTGAATACCCGACTGAACGGCGATGCCTTGCTCATGGGAATGCTAATAATTGTCCTAATTTAAATATTTCTACGCTTAAACATACATGTAATTCTGTATTTTCAGAAAATGAACATTAAAACAATTCAATCTTGCATTTATAGCGCGTAAAATGGGCCACAGTCCAAAGGTTAGGATTTTAATCTTTTTATCCCCATTTACAAAGGGCTCTTAAGTTTACCCTTTTCATACTGGTCGGCTTACTCATCTTAATATGTAACAATAAATGAATTTTTAGCTAATACCAGATCATGTTGTAAACTGTTCAATATACTAGTATTGCACAATTTGGCATGTATTGGCAGGCTATTTATAGACATGCGTTGTGATGCATGTTATAAATAAATACTTTTCAGTCCTGAGGAAACAAACATACATTCAAAATCTGTATATGCAGCGAAACACTTTTTTATGCAATTGCTAAAATCCCCGTTTCATTGCAAGCCGTAATTAATTAATTAGTTAATTAATTAATTAATTAATTTTATTTTTATTTTCATTTTCATTTTTCCCCGAACACTGCGTAGAACTACATTTTATGATTGTTACTCTCTTTTTGTAACAGTGTAATATTTTCAGTCAATAGGTGAATTAAATAACCCACTTAGCTCCTCGTTAAAATATAATCAAGATAAAAAGAATCGAAAATCATAGACCGTTGTGATATGTCTATGTTTGTGTGCGTGCGTGCGTGCAGTTAAGAGGTCAATGGGTTTTAAGATCTTTCTTGTTCGGGAGGACGACTTCGACAATTTAATATTATATTAATTGTTTTTTATAAAGAAGACATTGATGATATAACATAAGATATTATAATATACCTACGCATTTTCAGAAAATGAATATCGAAATTGTGTAAATAGCGGACATTTATCGTAAGATTAAATAGCTGCATAAAAAACAAAAGGTTACAGTTTTATTTTATATGGGCTCTTAACATTGCCCTTTATCAGTCTGACATTGCAAAAACTTATCTTGAAGAAATAACCGACTAGGAGAGGCCCTCAAGATGGAAGAAGGGACATAAAACTGGTAATTAATCTGTTTGGATTGCTTGATTATAGAATTAATCATTCAAAATTAAATATTTGGATTGCTTGATTATGGATACCCCTCCAAATACCACAGTTTATAATATTATGTTAAATTGAAAATATATGAAGCATAAAATTGTGCTATTTCAAAAGATAAAGGTATGGATCTCAGGGTTTTCAGTTCAAAATTATGATCAATGCTAGATGATGAAACTGTAGATGATTTTGATCATCTAGTTAATTTTGTTAACAGAATATTATAATTCAATATTAAAGGCCATTTCTTAACAGTATCTTGAGTCTAAAAATAATAAAAACGTATATGGTTCTTTTGTTTGTAATATCGTGCTAAATTTCATGACAAAAGATACATATAATAAATATAATAATAACATATTCTTTTATGTTTAGTTTTTATTTTCAATGTTAACCTTCCAACTTTAGATCGTTGATTATTATTTTATAAACACAACAAATTTTATCATATCGTGAAAAAGGAGAATAAAGTTTCAAACCTATTCAATAATTGAATGTCTTCTCTTTATTTTTAAAGTTAGAAGTTTATTGGAAGTTTGCTGATATACAAACAAACACGTGTACTACAATTGTATTAAAATTTATGTGGAAACTTGAACACCAGGCTATTGGGAAATTGAATTGGAAATTGGAATCTGATGATATAATTGGTTGAGTCGTGGTGACGTTTATGGTTATTTCAAACGGAGTGATTTCATTGGTCGGCACTATTTAATTATTTTTAAAGATAGACTTTCACAGTGTTCAATATCTAACATGTCGCCTGTGATTCAAAAATGTTTAGCACTTCAAATTCAGACACAAATTAATCATCTTTTTTATCATATTTTAGAAGTGTCGTTCAAGATAAAATAAGAAAATAAAAATGTATACGTAACACCATATCATAAGCAAACAAGAAAATTTCCTTCTAAAATTCTTTTCACACGGGTATAAGATTGATAATGTAAACCGAAACTATTACATATGGAGACAAGAAGTATATTTGATAATACATAGATACATAGCCGAGGAAAACCTGGTTAACTTGCATCTATATAGACCTTTTTGAAGAAAAAAAAAACAACAACACAAAACCAAAAAAACTCGGCAATCTGATTTTTACTACGCTTACTCGTTTAAATCAGATATCCTCAGGTTTCGATGTTTCTTCTCTTCTGTATCAAAGGCAAAAATAAAAAAAAGCACGTTCCCCGTTGTCACAATATGAAACCACGGAAAAAATCAATGAACGAGCATCTGAATTTGATATTTCTATCGCTATCCTATGGAAGCATAAACCTGCCCTTTTAACTTGTGTCTTATGACTTGCGACTTATGACTTGTGACTTTTGACTTCTGATTTGTGACTTACCTGTTTGACATAAATCGGCGCGTTTTCGAATGAAATATGGCAGACGAAAACGCTTTATATTCTAGAACAATTTTCCCATTTAATTGGGGCGTTTTATAACACAGTCTCTTCTAAAATAGTATTTTACCATCTGGATTAGCTGCAATTTAAAGGCTGCTGAGCATCTCATATTGTCGACAGTTGTCCTGACTTATTCAAAATGTAAGTGTTATACAAACCTCTCGCACGTGTAGATTCTCTTAAATTTTATTGTTTTAATGACGGTTGTGGAAGCTGTTCATATCTTGTAAATTAAGATAGTATCATTCGAGGGTTGATGGATTTTTTAATTTTAAAATATATATTCACATTAATCAATTTGCTAGCTAGCGCATAGTGTCGCTCAGGGTAGCAGGCTGACTGAGTGGTTCACACAATTGACTTATAATAGGAGGATTTGCTGGCAGTCTAGGTTTAAATCCTGCTAGGTTTGTGCTAGCTGGTGCTTCACTGGGCAAAAAACTAAACAACCATTGCTGACGTTCCTGTAAGCTCCAACCTTTCTGCACTATCATACTTAAATAAATAATGTTATGTATTATCCAAAGCAAACCCTTGACATGCGAGTTAAAGATTGAAACAAACAAAAGAACATGAACAATTCATGTTAGATTTTTCTTTATACTATGCTAGAACATATAGTACCAGATATATTGTTGTTATTTGCACTTATCATCCTGACTGTTAACACTATTTTTCATATACTTTACAGATACTGACAGATACTGATATAGATGAAAAGAAATAAAAATGAAGATTGGGCCCATAATATTAATGATTGTGGCACTTTTTTATGTGGTGATGTGTGTTGTACCAACCTATTTGCCAAAGCAAACTTTGAATCAGAGGTCCGAACTTATTATTGAATATTTCAAACTTGGTTTCAAATACACCGAGATTCTAGGATTTTTATTAAATAGACATAAAATTTTGTTGTCAATGCGGCAATTATATAGATTCCTAAAGGAGTTTAACCTAAAACGTCGGGAATTACAACCCCACAGTTATTAATACCATTCACAAAGAGCTGAATGCTTGTGGACAAACTATGGGTTATAGGTTTTTGTGGGAACGGCTTTAAATTAATCATAATGTTCAGACAACTTATCAGGAAGTTATGGAGGTAATGAAGATTTTAGATCCTGAGGGCACTCATCTGATCTGAGAAGAACCTATCGTCTAAAAATGCGTGTTTATTGTGCGAAAGGTCCCAACTATATTTGGCATTTAGATGGTTATTGCAAGTTTAAACCCTTTGGATTTTGTGTCCATGGTATTATTGATAGATTAAGTAGAAGACTGATCTGGCTAGAGGTATCGGATACAAACAATAATCCATGCCTCATTCCAAAGTTTTTTTTAAATTCCCTGAAGTCAATTGAAAAGGCACTTCGTATCATACGTTGTGATGCTAGAACAGAAATCTCTGATGTATACCTTTTACAACAGTTCTTTCGCTACAATGCAATTGACGCTTTTGCAAAACACAGAAGTGTTATAATTGGTAAAAGTACTTCCAATCAGCGAGT